GACAAGAACCAACGCCCGTGGTCCATTAGAAACTAAGACTTTGAAGTGAGCCGCACCAGTGGTAGCCTACTACAATTTGGTCAAGGTGAGTTAGCTTACCCATTATAATGCATCACCATATTTTCGTCCATGAAGAGCTGTCGAAATTAGGCTCTGGACAGAATTGAAATGGACGATTGACAACCGGATCGCTGACAAGGTAAAATATAACCTAGGCCGACTTATGAGCTCAATCTTCCAACCTGCGCACAAAAAATGTTTGTCTGAGCTTGACTCAGTCGGATGAGTCCTGGAAATTTGCGATACAACTTGCATTGGGACAGTGGTTCGTTGGAGAATGAACCCAAACGATTAATAAATATTTCCATTGCTTCACACCTCGATAATGTTTGAGCCCCTGCGCCACATTGTATACAAACGACTGTTGACGGAGCTACACTCGATAAGTGAAACCCAAACATAATTATTTAGTACAATACTCCAAGGGTTCACTTATCCCCTAATGTGCAGAAGAAGTATTTCGAGGAAAAACATAACAAAATGGCTTGTGCTTTTAAGATTCTGAACTCTTTTCTGTGTCACACGCAGTAGACGTCATTTGCTAGGGTTCATACTAAACGTCAGAAGAGTTTGTTGACCACATGCATGACAGTATTCACGTTGAATCTCCCCCCCTCTCGGAATCAGAAGTTGGCGAGGCTTCAGAGCCTACCAATCATTCAGTGGGGCATCATCTACAATGCCGTTTGACAGCGATCTTGGGTAAATAGCAACCAAGTTGTCGGGGGGAATATTACAGATTGTCAAAAGGGGCACAAAATGGCTGCGTATATAATCCGAAGAACTACATAGATGTTTGTTTGGGCAGTGGGGTCCTGGATATCTTGAACGACGGCCGAGGAAGCAACAAATTGGTTTTCGTTTGCGTTCATTGGAGCCGGCTACAGCTAAGAGAGTTCCAAGAATAAACGAGAGAATGATTGGGGTTCTAGACCAAAGCACTAGGAGCTTTATGAGAGATAGTTTCGAGGCAAAGTGCAGCCGGTAAGTGAGATCAAAGGAAAGATGAACAATCCATGTTGTCTTCAAGCTCAGATAGAATTACCGAGCCCAGATGTGAAACTCAACCTGCCAATCTTTGAAGGATAAAGCTTGGCGGGATGAGCCGACTGACTTTCAATTCGTTTATCTGCGCTCATGATCTATTGAACAAACACGCCTTCATTTCCTAACTGACTATATAATGAAAATGAGAAAAGCATGCATGATTGCGAGCATCAACAGCATGACCACGATACACAGTATGATATCCAGTTTACACCCGCATGTGGTAAACAGGTGGCAATGACTGAAAAGTCTAAGCTTCTTTCAAAGGTGTATAATGTGGACGTGGTTGCACATGGAACGGTGTACAGGGGCGGAATGAGTGACCGAATAACGCATTGAAGAAAATAGACTTGGGATTTGTTCAAATGGGTTTCAACTGCACGGAACAACAGGTACGCGCACACGTGTAAATATATAAACACGGACAAAGGTTTTTCTGTACATGTATTGCGAGAGAGAGGACTATCGCGCTGTGATCACAAAAAAATGTTGGTGATACAATGCGGGTGATAGATAGGTTTGATACATCTGACAAGTGAAAGAATACAAGTTGTTGTTTTTGTCGAAAATGTAATTGCTATTATTGACTTCAGTAGCAACAAATGGGTTTCTGGCTCAGCTACGACGCAAGTTGGGTGGTGAATGAACGCCCAAACATAATTCCAATGAGCATGATGATGAAGAAACGACTAAATTTAATAACAATATACGTCGCCTTGAAAGAGATGACATGCAACAATGGGTAGACTGACTGAAAAAATGTGACAAAAAGTTGGGCGCTTCGGGAG